AAAATTTATTAATTAGCAGAAGCAGTTTAGAGTTTAGAGTTACATTCCTTGTACAACTTGATTAAAACGCCCAATAGAGCTACAAGAATGCCCTTAAAGAACATAAATAAAAAAGTGTAATAAGGAAAACTAATGTAATCAATCTTTGCTTGAAACTGGGGAAACAGAGAGACAACATTCTATCTAGTTTTCTTACTGTTCAAGATCCAAATCTTGGTCGTCATGATCTGAAATGGTTAATAATAAAGGGGGGAGCTATATTAACTCAATAAGAATATCAACACCTTACCATTGATACGAAAAATTAAAGGTTTGTAGAAATTGTAAAACAACCAATGGCGCTCATTTTTAAACAAACTCATTTAATTGAAAATATTAATTTTCTTAACTCACCTATAAGTTCTTAAATGCCACTTATGAAGATAAGAATCAGAATAGTAATCTAAATTATGCATTTTAAAAGATAAACAATAATTAACTTTTATCATTCCCACTTACCTACTGGTGCTGTTGGGGATTCATAGGGGTCCCCATTATACGTAGACCAAACATTCATTCTATAAATCAAACGGTCGTCCCCATACCCCGTCTGATAATGGGTGCCAAATATACAACTGCCTCAATACCCCGTCCAGTAGGAGCGTAATCAAAACAATTCCTAACCCCTTTCGGTATGAGACTTCTCAGCCCCGTTCGACTGATGGTAACATCCACGATAGGGTTTACCCTATGCACAAAATCCGTACACCCTTTCCCTAAGTACCCAGTAAACTCTGTTTATTTGACATAATTTATTTATGTGTATGCTCTCTATTATCTAATATTTAGCCCTAAGGGGCCTGTACATCTATATCACAAACATACGAGTGCACATTTTTAAGATAGGTACATGAATTAAGGATGCATTAAACTGATATAAACATGTTAGACACACAATAGAGTGATTAAACAACATAGATTGAGGAATCTGACCATGTTAGCCATAGATTTAAAGCGAATAAATTACAGTAAATAGAATAGTAAATAGATAAGCAAAATAAACGACTGAAGAAATAAATGCTACAATTAAAACTCAAAACAAGTATAGACTGATTGGTTACTTGCTCCATTGGCCACCTGTATTTAATTAATAAAAGGACCACAGATCAACTAAGATTTTTGTTTATTATCAGGTTAGCTTCAATTTAGTCATAACAGAAAAAAGGGGTGAGGGATTCTTACCCTAAGTCGGTGTTCGGAACACCATCTTTTTCACTATACTTCCTGGTGATTTTCGGTTCTTGAATTTTTTGAATTTTTCTACTAAAATTAAAACTTACGTTAAAATAACATGAAAATACACAAAAAAATGCCAAAAGGGCAAAAAATCTCACTGAGGTCGGTTTAGGGTTACAGCACGGTGGCACTGTCATGCTCTACCGCCGATTCCTCCTTTTTGACAACTCATCCTCTCGGTGAAGCCAATTTTGGCCGGTTATAGGTGAAAACCTATTCATTTCGAGATTAGGCGGTGTCTGTCGATGGAAAAATGAAGAAAATCGAAGCTTACCGATCGTTCTTGCTCTCCAGTGTGGTGGCTTTGCTAAGCTCCGCCGTTTCTTCGTCGCGGTCATGGCTTCCCTTCGGCCACCCTGCACTGAAAAACATGTTAGATGGCCTAAGGTCAAGAAACAGAAGGAATGGGAAGGGACTTCGGATTCACCGGAGTATTTTTCAATTTTGGATGCGGCGGCTCAGCCGAGCTCTGCCCTCCGATTACGATTTTTCTTTGAGTTTTCCTGCATCAAAAAGTGTTTTAGGTAGCTTAGAATGGAAAAATAGGACGAACAATAAAAAATTGTACTTGCCGGCATCAATTTGGGTCTCTGGTGCAATGGTAACGGTGGTTGGCTTCTCCTCCGGCCGCCCTTCTTCTTCTTCTCTGATGAGCAGGTGTGCGACTAAGGTTAGGGTTTTGGTAGAAGAGGAGTTTAAATACTCCCCTTCTCTTGATCTGGCCTGTCCGTCTGAGTCTGCATGGTGTCTCCTCAGCCGTTCGATCGCGCTTAATAGGAGAATGGATCTAAACCGTTCAATCGAAGGCATGTGGACTGTCCGATCACGCCTAATGAGGAAATAGATCTAGATTGTTCATGCATGCGAGAGTAAACACAGGCCGTTGGATCGTTTGACACATAGATTGCCCATGTGGCTTCCTGCGTGGGATGCATGCTGGTGTGTTCGGCACGCAGCGCACGTCGACTGGTCGTGCTGCTTACATGGCAACTTTTTTCATCTTTGCGATTTGGCACCTGCTTTTAATTTTTCTTTTCAAATGGGTCTTTCCTTATTTCTAGTTTCATTCATTCCTTTTGAAATTGCTTTCAAACAATCCAAAATGCATATATATAAAGAAAAATTCTAAAAAATTAAAATTAAATATTTTATTATTATTTTTAAAATTAGTTTATGTCATCCCGAGCTTAAATTCTGAGCTCGGGATGTTACAACAGGTGAGACCTAAAAAATTTAATCTTCATCATTTTTAGTCTCTACTATTTATTGAACCTCTTTATTCTTTTCATTACTTCTCATCTAAAATCACAAATCCATGTCAAAGAAGAAGCCTTAAACCTAAACGAGCAAATTATTAAAACCTTAGACATGAGCTTGCAAAAGAAGGATTTATAAATCCTTAAATGCCTCCCAGCTTGTCATGTGTTAGGTTTACAATACATTTAGGTTATGATACATTATTGCTTCAAGTTTTGTTTATGTTTAGTGAACTTACTACTTGTTATAGACTGAAAGAGACCTCTTATTTTAACACTTATAGCTATATTTGTTATATACGCGCGCGTGTGTGTATTATATTAAAAATATTAAATAATTATAAAAAATAAAAAAATCAAAATTTTAACAAAATTAATTAACATCTCCTAAGGCCAGCTGAGCCTGATCCAAATAGCCTGTCAAACCTAACACGAATTTGAGTTGCCATGAGCTAGGCTTATGGGTTGCATGGGCTAGAATTCTTCAAATTTTCTGAAGTTTTATTCCAGTTTGAACAGCTCACTACAGGTCATTTTTACACCTATGATTATACTTCTTATATATATATGTATGTATGTATGTATGTATAGTATATAGTTAACACTATATAAAGAAAAAACTAATAGACATATAATATTCAGAAGAACAAGTAATATACAAACACATTCATATGCACACATTTACAGTACGCACATGCTTACATATAGAAAATAAAAATTAAAAATATTATGGTACCATTTTTTTCCCTAATTCTATGTTCGAAAAAAAATGAATTTTAAAAAAATTTAAATTTGTTTACAAATTGATTTAAGTGTAAAATTATATCCATTTTGAAATTAACTGTTTATAAGATTGAACAAATATATTGATTAAATTAATTTTATGGAATTTGAAGTTCAACTTGAAATGTGTTTTTTACACTTGTTAATGGTCTTTTGCATTTAATTTCTCAATTAAATTTTTGGAAAACAACTTAAACAATATAATAATAATTTATCCAAACATTAAAGTCATCTACAAAATTTAACTCTAGTTTATTTGGAGATAGATACATTTTTTTTATTCAATTGTCTCTCAAACATGGCCTAATAAAAACATGGCCTAATAAAGGAAAATCTTAGGTGGTGTTTATTTCAATATTATATTTGATATAATATAAACTTTAAAAATACTTATAATGTCAATTATTAGAAACCCACACTTGAAACGACGCCGTATTTGTCCTCCCGATGTTAGATCGATGCCTGACAGCACGACGTATCTCGGCTCCACTCATATATACAGGTTTTGGCCGAGTAACCGTAAATCCGTGTTCTGTCAAACTTTTGTGTACTCTGAATCTTCGTAGAAGCTCAGGCTCGAAAGGTACGCTCGAAGGCGCATCGGTTTCTCGGTTTCTGTGATTTGATTATGCGTTTCTCTCTCTCTCTCTCTCTCTCTCTCTCTGAATCATGCTATCCTCTTAGTTCCATAGATCTGATCTTCTACTTCAGTGGTTTTTGCTTTGCCTGACACGGGGATTAGTCGAATCATCTTTGCTGGCTTGATTTCCTGTTTGTACTCTTTAGTTTCTTTAAAAACCCTTGCACTGTGTTTGCTTTATGAGAAATCGACGATAAAAAAGCAAATTGCATGATGATTTTAATGTCGTAGTCTATAATTTCTGAATGATCTTAGATTGGTTTTTTTGTGTTTATGTTGCGTAGAAGCGTGTAGGCAATTCGTAGGCTCCATTGTTGTAAAGTTGAATTAGAATCACGGATTTAAGTTTGGATTTCTCTTGAAACCTCTGCTTAAGAAGAGGTGCAAGATCCAAAAATTGATAAGTTATGGTAGATTTTCTTTAACGTCAAGTTACTTTCCATGTTATTATGTGGGATCCAAACGGCTTACTACTTAGGCATTAGTTGTGGGTTTGTTATATTTTTCGACGGATCCTGTATAGGCCGCTAGAGTCGTACTTTCGTCACGAACCAGAGGCCAAGCTTGTATGTTCAAGGACTGGAAACCTACAAAATCGCAAGATCAGTTCATATAAACATGCGTAATTATTTTGTTTATCTATCATATTTGTCCGGTAATTCTGACAAATTTGTAACTCTACTTCACTTGGCAACTGTTAGTAACAGAATTACTTTATCCTTCTGTTTTCATAGGTGTAAAGTGGCCAATTCCTCGTTCATGTCACAAAATGTTAATTACTTTGCATTCCAAGCATTTACTTCTTTAGTAGCCTTGTTTGGATTTGCAATGAAGTCTTTTTTCTTTTTTAAATTTCCTAGAAAATGTGAATCATCTATCTAGGATTTCAGAGAATAAGTGGTTTGCAACTAGATTGGAGCTTGAGGCTTTACATTCTAAATCATTTGCTTCCTTGAAAATCCCCTTAATTGGATGCTACAAATGCTGGAAGTAAAAGACAATAGTTTCAGAGTTGTGCCCTTCTTTCTAATGCTTGGTTATACTTGAGGGTACATCGTGAGGCATAGAAACACAGGAAAACCTTGTTAATCCATCAAGTTGACTTGTTGATTGATATCGCTAAAAGTAAAAGCTTATTTGTCAGGTTTATGCTCAAAATTTCCTTTCTACCAACATATATGCTTGTATTGAGATAACAATTGTTCCTCTAAAAGATAACTTTTTTATTTTGAAGAAGCATGGATGCCAACAGGAGTCAGGGTGGAATTCAGCAGCTGCTAGCTGCAGAACAAGAAGCTCAACACATTGTCAATTCTGCTAGAAATGGTAATTGTGCCCTTCCTTAATCTTTACATGCTGAATTTTGAAAGTAGCTTCATTTACAATTATGTTGATATTGTAAAAAACGAAGTGTTGTTGATCATATGTATTTAAACCATTCCAAAGTGTCTAGCTGTTAAATTTATGTTGGAATGTGTAGTTTCTTTTGTATCCTGTATAAGAGAAGGTTTTTTCGAGGGCGTGAGAAGAAGTCTTGGTTGTATTAATTTATACATATGAAGCTTCTTTTAATATGTGTAGAGATGAATTAGTAATATGTTTGGAACACATCAACAATTTTTATGGAGTTTCTTTGGAAATTTAGAATTTGCTTAATTAGGAGGGATAAAAATGTTATTAGAAGATTATAAAAATGATCTCGTTAGAAATTCCAAGTGAAATAAGAATAGTATTTCAGGTTCCGCAAATTTTGATAGAATTTTAAATACATGGTTTCACTTCCACTTTGAATTATCTATGAGTTTAATGTTTAAAATTTTAAATTAAATTTTCACCATCATCTTGGTAAATCTGGTGTAGAACTCCAAATGAATTCTGTAAAAATTTCTTGATTTGTTACTAACATAGCTTAAGATTGTTTAGTATATATCCTTATGTGTACTTGTTCATGCATTGTTTTTGAGAATTATGTTAAAATTTATAAAGTTTTAAAAATTGATTTAAACATTTAATGATATGATCATTGATTTTGATGCTTTATTTTTTCTGTTTTTAGCGAAAATGACAAGATTGAAACAAGCCAAAGAAGAGGCTGAAAAGGAGATTGCTGAATACCGAGCACAAGTGGAGCGTGAGTTCCAAAGGAAGGTGGCTGAGGTAAATATTCATTGGGAAACCTGTTCTTAACTGGTAGTATACGCCTTGCATACTCAAATCAGTTCATGAATGTCTGTTGATCGTGAGACATGTAAATATTCCGTATTCTACCTTGAACCCTGGGGATAAATCATTTCCTTCGCCCTTTTGATATTATAACTGTTGAATCTTTTCTGGACTGGACATGCTAACTTTTGCTTTTCATGATCTCAATCACAGAGCAGTGGAGATTCAGGTGCCAACGTGAAGCGACTTGAACAAGAGACAGAGTCAAAGATTCATCACCTGAAGACGGAGGCCTCGAGGATATCAAAAGATGTAGTTGACATGCTCCTGAAGCACGTCACAACTGTGAAGAATTGAGCATTTTCATTTCTGGGGGAATGAAGTGATCATGATGCAAACACGGGGAATGTTAAATCTTCTATGGCATGATTCATTTCAGCAGAACCTTATTTTGTTGTGTGCGGCAATTGGATGGATCTTTGTATTCTCTTATTTCAAATATTTAAGATCTTGATATGTCAAGATTGGTCATGGAACTTTTTGCATCTCATGTTGTGCCAATATGTTTATCCAGTAGTAGTGTAATGGCATTTTTTGTTGAGACAGTAAAAAAGAGAAATAAAGTTTACCATTGATGTTTATTTATATGCAGTTCCAGGTAAAAAGTGTTAAAACCTCAGAAAAGCATGAACCAGGGATTTTACTTTCATGGTGATGTGAGCATGGACGGCTTGAACTATTCAAGGATATTCAAGAAACTAATATAGGTGATGTTAGTTTTCTATTATTTATATGCATCACATGCTCCCGGTGCATGCATGATGAACTAGAGTATTATATTATTGGAGTTTATATGCTTATTAGTTAGACCGTGATTTGGATCTGATTGTGTTTTTTTTTCCCTTTTTTTTTTTTTTGAAGTACAAATTTTTTTAAAAATTAATGTTATTGGCGCATATATGAAGTGTTTTCTTAAATTTCTTTATTTGAAAAAACACATTGAAGTGACAGACTAAAGAGAATAGAAGTTAATGGAATGAAAATATGTTCGTTATTTGAATAAATTGCTTTCTTCAGAAATTATTTAAATAAATTATGTTGATGTTATTTTATTTGTATAGGATGTTAAAGATAGAGAGAAGATCCTTGTGCAAGAGACTAGTAATGTTTACATGTCATTCCCTCAAAAAATTTATATAAAAATTTAATGTGTTTAAATCAAAGATATCAAAAGAAATCTTAAGTCAATAGATCTTAGTTATCTATGATGACCTATTTCAAATTTAAAAATTTCGAGCAAAACAGGTTCGTTTATTTGTTAATATAATTAGAATCGTGTTAGGTTTTTATTCATAAACAAATTTGTCTGAACTCAATCTAATTATATAATATATGTGTGTGTGTGTGTGTGTGTGTGTAATTTTAGTTAGAAATAAAAATAGATAAAACTTGATTTAGAATGTGGTGATAACTAATACTTTGGAGTTTTTAGTTTTTAGTTTAAATGTGAATTGTCATGTAAGAAATTTATTTATATAATAATATAACTCCATATACTTTTGAAATGTAAATTATACAATTTATACATTTATTTCAAATTACTAAACTTCCAAGGCAGAAATTGAATATGATATTAATAAAGACGAATTCATTAAAATTTTAATTAAAATATATTATGATGCAAGAGCAGTCCCAAAAGACACTTTAATGAAACAGGAAGATACACAAGAAACTGGCGATGCCTACAAGGAACTAGGACCAATGGGGAAACAAGCCCAAGTTACCCATGGGCCCAATCACCTAAAGTTGGGTCCAAAAACTCTAAGGTGTTTTCAACCTGTTAGTGCATAAGTGGGTGAGCAACAAGATCACCAATGAAGCTCAAAAAAGGCCCAAGATCCAAGGCAACCGTGGAAGACATGTGCGGCACACGTGTGCAACAAACATGGGAGTCCACCCGCACATGCAGGAACCTCACCCGCGTGAAGTAACACACGAAGCGTGCAGCAAGGGCAGCCCACATGCCTAGTGCACGCAACATGCACATAGCACACCCGCAGCATGCATGCAGCACCACACATGCGCGTACACCACAAGCTTACGCCAAGCAACCTGCACGCGTGCGATCCACGCCCCAGAAGGAGAACCCGCACTGCCCACCAGGCCCATTCAGCAAGACGCGCGCCCAACCTACAATCGGGCCAGGCGCACGCCAAGTAAGCCCGCGCCTGACGCACAAGCCCAACCCGCGGGCTTGTTTTGTGTGATCTGCGCGGATCAGCCGACCCAACCCGCATGGGTTATTCGACCCGCAACCTGGCCGTCCCTCCTCCACCTTTTTTTTAAAATCATGTGGACCCCATCTCAACCTTTTTCCATATGTTTTAATTAATTTCCCCATGTGTTTTATATGAAAAACACATAAGATA